TTTAGATATTTGTTTCATTTGTTTAATTGTATTTATTTAAGATGGGAGATGATTTTCTAGAAGATTATTTTATGCTCTTCATTAAACGAGATTTTACTAATAGTATAAGTATAAATTCTATTACTGATGAATTTTATTCTGTAAAAACGGTCGATCACAACTTATTTGAAGAAAAAAATTATAAATTCTATTACTGATGAATTTTATTCTGTAAAAACGGTCGATCACAACTTATTTGAAGAAAAAAATTGATTTTTATGAAAATGATTAAAGTCTAGCCCAGTCTACTCTTAATTTCTAGATCCGTCCCATAAACTCATTCAATGTATTAATAATTAATATCACATTTACTAAGCTAACAAATGTAATTTTTCTCATTTGGGTCTGAATAATTTAGCAAAAAACAGCCAATATGATAACCACTAAAAAGCAACACCTGCAGTTTACTCATTCCAGCATAATGATGTTCAAAACCAAATCTGGAAATATATCTCTCCACAAATTACTCAAAATTCAAGAAAAATGTGAATCTTTAAAAAAAAAAAAAAAAAGGACAAATGTGAATCTAACCTTTTATAGTACCTAGAAGACTCCATTAAGCATAAACAGAGCATGTGAGTAAACATTGCTCTTGTGGGAGTCTATGAGAACTCGAAAATCAAAAGCCAAAATCATTGAGAAGCACGCAATCGAAAAGGCTGCATCTTTTTTAGTTCAAGCAATGAATCGAAACGAGGATTTGGCCTCAATGTTCTGTTTGATCACAAAAAGGCCCTCAAGAGTTTCCCAGAGTACAAACAAACCCACATTAAAATCACAAAATAAGCACGAGTCGAGTCATTCATACAGTTTTTTGTATCTTCATAACAAGCCAATAATAATAATAATAATCATAAGAAAGACCAAATAACTGAGAACTAAAGCAAGCTGTCATAATTTAGAGGGGACAAAAAAGAGAGTAGCAATTGCAGGTCACAAGCCGCTGGCTGAGAAAAGTAAATTCACGCTGATTTAAATAAGTCTCGAATGCCAAGTTTTCATGTTCTTCAACCTCAAATGACTACAGTGCACGATAGTGTAGTTTCAACAGATTCAGCCACGGTCAAAATTTATCAGCTTCCTACAAAATTTCATCCGTGAAAAATGGTTTGTAACAGTATTTATAGAAAAAAACTGGGGGGAATGAAAAAGGAAAAGAAAACAATTTCCATATATATATATA